CCCAACACCTGGATCTGATGATTAAAATGGCACAAAATAAGTAAAGTAACGGGATTACTTTTTGGGGGAAGTAATCAGTAATTAGTTACTGATTACTTTTTTCAAGTAACTTGACCAACACTGGTGATCACTGATTTGATGATAACTATTTTATTCAACTATGGAGAATTTTTTTTTAAATGAAGTTCCAGAAGCACAGATATATTCATCCAAATATAGAAACCTTTTTATTTTACAATTTTCAGAAAAAAATATCATACAATTCCAGTTTAATTGTACAGTTTGTTAAATACCTAAATACACCTTTACAGTTGCAATGTCAGTAGAAAAAAAATATTGGATATTTTTGAGATACAAAATGTACACTTCCCTACACATCACAGCTCACACACGTACACAACATTGTGTGATGGGCCACGTTGGCCACTGACATTAAAAACATTTGCTCCTGTAAATTAAGATTATTCTGCCCAACAGACTTTCGACTGAACATATGAAGGTGGGAAAAAACTTAAAAATGCATTTGGATATTAATGTTATAAAACGCTTCAGCACATTTACGATTGCTCTATCCCAGCAGCTGTGGAAAAGTATTACATATGAAGTGTTTGTGTACTTGAACTGTGGTTTATACCATTATATGGGTGCCAGCTAGGGACAGGAATTGAGGATCGGGTCTTGTAGGGAACGGTTCCCAGTAGTTCAATTCCTTTCCTTTGATATGTTTCTTAGTGATGGTGTCGACTCTAAAAACGGTGCCAATGAGAACCGATCTATGTTAAGTGATAGTGAAATCGATAAATTCGTATCCCTAGTGTCTGCAAGGAAGTTTTTTCTTACTTAAATACTTTACCACAGTGGATAAAAGCTGAAATAAAGCAGTGCCTCAAAGTCTTCGACCCAAGTTATGCTTTGATGTAATAAAACAAACTTTACATGTGCAATGGAAAGGTACATATTACTCCGATTGAAAAAAAACCCACACTTTTAAAAGCTTATTCAATTAAACATAATTGAAGAGATACAATTGGCAACATCCTGTGAAATTTCCCCAGAGACACCGATCCATTTAAGTTCCTTTTTAATTTAATGCACTTTGTACAAAACACAGTAAAGATGAAGAGCATGGACGCCATTTTGGCATCATCTCGTTTCCTCCCCCATCCTTTCCTGCAGAACAGCTGATTATCATTGCTATCGTCTTATCGGCTCGAACAGGATGCAGTTCCCGTCATTTTGTGACGACTCACTAAACTGTCAAAA